ATAGAACAAAAATCCCATTATCTTGTGGCCTTTGGCCAAAATGGCTGCTTGGGCATTAAAGCCATCGCAAACAAAAGCAACTGCGATCATTTCTTTTACAACTGCATGCACAACTATGTTGTTGCTCCATTACCGGGGGTCTGGTTTTTGCAAAGAGATTTGGTTGAGAGGCAATGGCCCAACTCCATAGACGCTCCTCAACGAGAATTAAGTGATTGGGAAGCTCAAGAATGAGGGACCGACCTCCATCTGAATGATCAACCTCAAGGGAAATAAGCTTCAGGGAGTCGGGTGCATGTTGATTTACGCTCGCTTCGGACTAGCCCACCGAGTTTTCTACAGAGCTGGTTCTAAAAATCAATGATTTAGATTGTTGTTGTTAAATATATATCGTATATATTTGATCGAGTATTACTTGGATGTGAAACTTGTAGACCTCATTGGTGATCTTATGGAGGGAACGAAAAAATATATAAAGACTTATAGAGACCCTCTATTTAGTTGTTTACCTGAGGCAATTGACCTATATCTTTCCTCAGAGCCCTAGGGTTGTGTCTCGATCTCCTACTTACGGAGGAAGTGACCTACATGTCTTATAAAGTGAGAGTTAGTTGGAATAACCAATTTGTTGGAAGATTTGAATATATGGTTAACTGGAAAATAATGACTTGTATTGTATTTCATTGAGTTGTGATTACAAAGTGGATGTATTTATACAAGGATAATATATCTTAAATATATCTTATCTAGCCTATGATTAAAATATCCTAATGATGAAGATTAAGAAAGATTATAGGTGATATGATGGTTTGCTTGTGTTGCAAGAAATCTCAGATGTGCCTCTGCTGACGCACCATGCCTTCTGCCTGACCGAGCCAACCTTGGCTTTCTGACTGTGTTGGTCATGCCAGGTGTGGGGCATTACCGAGTCATGACTGGTCTTGTGACTTTCGTCTGACCCAACCAGCTTGCACATTGTGCCCATGCTGCTTGTGTGAGATGACCAAGTTATGCTTGTGTCTCCCTACTATCTGACCGGGCCAACCTTTGTCTTGTGCCTGTGTTGCTTGTGCTAGTTGATCGAGTTGTGCCTGACTTTGTGACCGAGTTGTGTATGTTATATGACTGAGGTTGCCTAGCCTTGACCGAGTTGTGCATGTTGTCTGACCATGATTGTCTTACCTTGGTGACTAGGCAAGGCGCATGATTGTTGACGATGCTAACCGAGCCATGTGACTTTCCTGTCTTGGTCGGAAGTGAGGTGTTTGGCCCATGTTTGGCTATTAACATGCATTATTAAAAATTGCCAATTTTTTTTTATGAAAATTGATTTTTGTTTTTATTATATCTATTATTTTTGTATTTGATGTTTACAATGAGACAACAAGTCTAAAATGCTAATTGTGATTGATGGTTATGGTTTATGGACAATTTGATAGTATTTTTGTAGCATTTTCTGTATCATTTTGATAGTATTTTTGTAGCATTTTCTATATCATTTGTATATTTGTAATTGTCTTTAAAGATATATTCTATTTATTAAACCATTATTCTTCAACATTGTTTAGTGATCTAGAAAGTCTTGAGAATTAGATTTCTTAATGATATAAATAACATGCAGTTTGGTCAGAAAATAGTTTAGATTTATCATCTACATACATTTTTGTTTGTCTATGACTACAAAAGTTATCAGGAAACATACATGAGGAGGTGAATAATTTTGCTTTATCAATTATTATGTTTAGACTAAGGTTAATTGTATCTATTTTATAATTTTATATGGCATTTTGTACTTTTGTGGTTCTAGACTTTGAGATGACCACTTTACATACATTTGTATGTTTGCATTATTTTTATATATAGGACGACCCACAAGCCTGCCCATGTTTAGAGCAAACAATGCATGATATTTCATGCAATTTAAAAATGGGCATTGAGTGAGCACAAATAGGGCAGACATGATAACCCTAATTGCCAATACTAATAGTAATACATGGTTGTTATTGCTACCTTTTCAACCACATATATATAAGGGGACCATCGTCCCAAGTTTTAAGAGTGCATTAAATTCAGTCTTAATTTAAAATTAGACAAAATCTTAAAGGCATCACAAGTGTGATATAATATACATTTTTCTACAATGCTACCAATGTTACCAAAGTCTCGGAGTTATACTCATTGCGGGCGCTGACACCATAATGTGGCTCTGTTGGACCAAACCATTTCAAACATCCCTACCACTGATGGTATTTGTTGGAAAATCTTGAACTTTTTGGGGAAGACACTATACCACTTGGACAAAGAAGATGTTGATGGATATGTACGTCGAAACCTCCAAAGCGTGTGTTACCACACTAACCTTTAGGTTCAATTCACCCCCACCAATCTAAGTATATTGGATGCAAATGAGATGAACCGCGAATCCCCTTCAGGATACTTTGGAAACCTTGATATGATTTGCACAAGCACAACAAGCGTATCTCTCAAAAGTATTTTACAAATTTATGTTTCCTACAATTCTCTCATGCATTAGAGAAGTGAAGGAAGATTTCCAGGCTTGAATTTTCGTTGTTTTCATTATGGCTTGGAGGGTCTAGTAGGTTACCCGTGCATTCGCACGGGCAGATTCCGTTTTCCACAAATTTATGTAAATAGTAAAAGAAATAATTATTAATATTATAGTTTAAGAGAAAATAATTTATTAATATAAAAGTGTGGACGAAATTATTCCGAATTATCTAAGACAAACAAAAATAAGGTAAAATCATTTGGACCATGAGACAAAAACTGAAGATATAAGATTTTATTAAATAAGTCTTGTCGTCAACTGATTTAAAACATAATACACAATAGAGTACTTTATAAATTACATTTACTCCAAGATAAAAGCGAAGTAACAAAGATTAGTAAGTAATATATAATATGGTCAAAGTACAATTGTACACAATAATATAAAAATTATAGAATAGATCAATAATATAACATATAAAATGAGCTAAATAAAGGTTCTATGCACTCACAGTTTTTAATTGTTGGGAATCATTGATATCTGAATTTCTTTTTTTCCCGTTAGAATGTGAAGACTGTTGGAAAGTAGGGCATTCGTCGTTAATAACATAAATTGAAAAATAACCATTGACAAAATAACAATGTTACAAATATAAATTACATCAACTATTGGAAGATGATCTAACTTAGAATATTGTGACAACTGGAGGTCACATTCGTTCAATGAGTCCAAACATAGACGAAAAGTAGAAAAGCTACAAAAAAATATTTATGACAATCATATTGACAATTGGAAAAGACAGTAGGTAGATAATAGTAAAAGACACACTATCCATAAAAGTTCAAACATTTTTTGTATGAGAGACAATATAGGAATTACCTTTGCATTTAAAATGAGCTAAAATAAAGGTTCTATGCACTTACAGATTTTAATTGTTGGGAATCATTGGCATATGAATTTCCTTTTTCCCCGTTAGAAAGTGAAGGCTGTTGGAAAGTAGGGCATTCGTCGTTAATAACATAAATTGAAAAATAACCATCGACAAAATAATAATGTTACAAATATAAATTATATCAGCTATTGGAAGAGGATCTAACTTAGAATATTGTGACAACTGGTGGTCACATTCGCTCAATGAGTCTAAACATAGACGAAAAGTAGAAAAGCTACAACAAAATATTTATGACAATCATATTGACAATTGGAAAAGACAATGGGTAGATAATAGTAAAAGACACACTATCCATAAATGTTCAAACATTTTTTGTATGAGAGACAATATAGGAATTACCTTTGCATTTAAAATGAGCTAAAATAAAGGTTCTATGCACTAACAGTTCTTAATTGTTGGGAATCATTGGCATATGAATTTCAATTTCCCCCGTTAGAAAGTGAAGGTTGTTGGAAAGGAGGGCAATCGTCGTTAATAACATAAATTGAAACATAACCATCGACAAAATAACAATGTTACAAATATAAATGACCCCAGCTGTTGGAATAGGATCTAACTTAGAATATTGTGACAACTGGTGGTCACATTCGCTCAATGAGTCCAAACATAGACGAAAAGTAGAAAAACTACAACAAAATATTTATGACAATCATATTGACAATTGGAAAAGACATTGGGTAGATAATATAAATAATTTTTCGCCATCTTATTACATTTCCTTATACTTATTAATATTATCTATTTCTTCACCAATCAATAGCCTTGATCCATACCATGAACGGGAAACAGTTGGAGGAGAGTCGCCTATACAATTGTAAAAAAGTTAGAGAATGTATATTACAAAAAGATTATTAAAAATGAAAATAATACAACTACTACAATTTTCCCTTTCTTGATTCTAGCATTTGTTAAGATAATGATCATATGTTCACCATTTCGTAGTTTTTTGTAATAGTTGATAAATTTCATGGCATGTAATTGCCAAAGATAAAATGTAATGATATCACCGCTGATCAAAGTTGGAAAACAAAAAGACAAAGCATGGATAACATCAATTTGAAGTTTCTAATGGATTTGAATTGAACATTTGTGGTTTAGCACATGTATGGGCAGAGAATACCTTGATTTATCGTATGGCTGAACCAAAAGAGAATTGGCATCAGGGGTGCTAATTTGAGCAATACTCTTTAAATTAACAGGACTTCCATAGTATTCCACCTACCACAAAACATAAAAACTCATCCATATACAAAATGAAACTATGGTGTAATATAAATAAAGTCCCTGAAAATGGAATTGAATATGCAGTTCAAAATGATACCTCGATTTTGTCAAGCATAGCTGAGTTTGATTTGTCAATCCTTATAGAATTGAAATTTGAGCGAATATTTTCAATAGTCTTTTCCATCCTGTTTTTCTAGGGGAGACAAAAAAAGTATATAAATAATAAGGAATTAAAAGGCACTTAATTAATGAATATAAAACCCTATAACAGTAAATGATAGAGAGACATACAATATCATTCTCAATAGAGGCTTTTTCGTCTTCAATGGTTGCAGCCTTCACAAACAGATAAACATGCTTCAGTAATGAAAATAGGAATACATGCATGCAAATGTGTCATTTTTTTCCAAAAAATAAAGAGACATGATAGAAACAGTGAATCAATGCAACAACAACACTAAGGATGAATATATTTAGAAAGATCTATGATTTCTACAAAGAGAACAATATGATTTCTACATAAATCATCGATTAAAAAAATAAAGCTTCATAACTCAGTAAAGTTGAAACCTTTTCAACAATAAAGGTTGAACAAAAGGGATCCAATAAAGTTCATGGTTCAGTAAAGATGCAACAGGGTAAAATGCAAAAATCACATATATGACATAAGAGAAACATGATTCAGTGATGAAAATAGTTATACATACATGCAAATGTGTCATCTTTTTTCAACAATAAAGAACATCTCAAAGATAAAAAAAAGTACACAAAAAATGTTATATTGAACTCGGAAATAAAAATTTAAAGCTTCATCCAAACGAAAAAATATTACCTTGTTAGTAAAGGTTGAACATAAAAAACATCATTCGGGTAACTCTGAAAAAAGATAGGTAGTATGAGATGTTAAACATCACGAACATGAAAAAACATAAAAAAATAGAGATCAAGAACATTCTCGTAACTCAAAAATCAACATTCCATTAACTTTAAAAAAAATCAACTTAAAGAACATGAAAAAACATACATTTCCTTTGAGATGAGTATGAGATGTTAGAAACATTCATGTAACTTAAAAATGTTATGTTGAACCCATAAAGCATACAAAGAATGTTATTTTGAACTAAAAAATAAAAAATAAGATCTTATTTTTTCTTGATAACTATTAAGATAACAAAACATGTTTCAGTAATGAAAAATAGGAATACATACATGTAAATGTGTCATACTTTACCAAAAAATTAAGAAGAATGATACAAATAGTGAAACAATGCAACATCAACACTAAACTTAGTTAGTAAAGTTGAAACCTTTACAACAATAAAGGTTTAACAAATGAAGAGATCTAATTTACAACAAAATGATAACCATATTCCACAAAAAAAAAATCTATAAAGGTTATGCCTTTACACAAAAATTTGAAAGAAAATAGAGGAAAACAGAGAGAACACCTCAAAGGATCCATGACTACAGCAAAATGGTCAACTTCTCGATCAACATTCGCAACCGATGAACCAAACATTAACTTAAGGATGAATTTCAGAGTGAGGGTGAGAGTGAGAGTCAAAGTGAAGTGAAGATTGTTATGGTGGGAGGGAGAGCTGGGAAAAATGAAGAGAAGAAAGAGAAAGGGAAAAAATGAAGAGAAGAAAGAGAAAAGAAGATATAAAAGTGAAATGAAAAGTCAGGAAATAAATTGGGAGATTTAAAAAATGAATTTGAAATCTTGCACAATAAATTCCTTACTTATCCCCGTCCACAACAAATAAACAACTTTAAAAGGATACACGTTTTGGTAATTTAACTTATGAATTTATTGCTTGAATAAAAAAGTTGTAAAGACAAAATTACCCTCAGGTTTGAGTTTATAATAACACCTCTAAAAACCTATTATAGTAATATTGTTGTCCTGCAATAAATGACACATTATTTTATTATATTAGTAAAATAAAGGACTGAAGTAACCCCACCAGTTTTAAAAAATCCTTATTAGAATAAGTCCTTGTAGGTAATTTTCCTTATATGATTATTTATTAATGATTAACGTAATTACATATTTACCCTTGTAAAATACAGGTGTCGATAATATGGAAGTCTATATTTGTAATTTTCCTAGCCCTTTCTATTCCTATATAGATATAGACTCATACCATTTGGTGGAACAAAGCACATTTGGTTTTTACATTGGCTGATCCGAATGGGTATATGCCAAAACGTTTCACTAATGAAACGTAAGTCACATAGCCCAACCGGTAGTACATGTTGCTTGGAACCAATGTCTGAGTTCGAATCCCACGTAACAAAGGCAGTCCCATTGTTGACCAGTCCTTCTCACCACAGCATTGTGGCCAGCAACTGATGACAATGGCAGTCCCATTAGCATCATTATAAAAGCGTTGTCTAATATACTTTAAGACCACAGTTATAAAATTGTAGTACATAAATGTGAAAAATTAACATATAAGGCAACACTATTAAAAAATAAAAACCATGACCTAATGTACATTAAGACCACGGTTTTAAAACCGTAGGAAAATGAGACGTTGCAGTATGTCAAAAATATTGTACTGTGGATCCAAAATAGAAGCAGGGAGTCTTTGTTTAAGTCAGCCAATAGTTATTTTATTATGTTTTGTTGTCCTATTGTTTAGGAATTTTGGCTCAGTTTTCTAGGACTGAGTTTTTGTTTTAGTCTTCCTTCTTTGTTGCTTAAGGATGGCGGTTGTGGTATACGGCTTTTTTGGAGCCATATATTTTTGAATTCAAGAAGACAGAGACTTCAATCCCTAAATTACTTATGTATATTAAGTGAATGAAAATAATGAAATGTAGAAAATAAGTTCTTAACAGTAAAATACACATTTTCATGGAAATAATTATTCCAATTTTTAATTTATTAGTGACAACCAAATATATTTTCAACCAAATCTCATTTCTTCTCATTTTCAAATAAATCAGTTTTCAAACAAGCTGATACATGTCTTTTATAGTTGTTATTAAGAATTGCAATCTTACCAGTGAAATAGGAGTTTACATTTTCTTCTAGATATAATGTTATTTTAATATAATTTTTGTGCAATGTTTAAATTTTTATGCAGAGTTTTATTTATCAAAATATTTAAAGATAAACTATAATCTACTTAACAATAATTTACTATGTAAGTTAGGGATGGCAATGGGTCCGGATGGGTCCGGGTATTGCTTCCTTTTTGCACCCAGACCCGCCCCAGACCCATGCTAATACCCGCTGGGTATACTACCCATGGGTACTTGGGTACCCAGTGGATCCATGAGTACCTATAAATTCAAAATATTAAAAATAATTGTAAGTAATTTATGCATTTGTATATTTATTTCCTACAATCTTATATGTTATTTAGACAATAAAAAAGATAAAAAATTATAAAACTTAAGTTAAAATTTTAAACACAACTTAATTTGATTATTAAATACAACTTATTTTACTCAAACAAACATTAAAAACAACTCCAACATTAGGATGAAAAATTCATGTAGTAAAAACTCTTTAATTAACACAACATTATATATCATACATATGAATTAACAACATAATATCATTGTTTAACAACATAAAAAATCATATTTTAACAACATAACAATCACACTTATGAATTAATATGATATATAATTATGGATTAATATAATGCTACAATATAGATTAACATGTTATTATAATTATTGCTATATACATATAGATTTAGGAAGAAATAGCCGGTCCGGGTACCCACGGTCTGGGTACCTCATTACCCGGATCCAGACTCATCTAACAGCGGATCTTAAAATTGTGGGTCTCAATTACCCACGGGTCCAAAATATGGACCCATACCCGACCCGTTGCGGGTACCCGCGGATCGGGTACCCGCGGATCCGGGTACCCATTGCCATCCTTAATATAAGTGATGTTAAACCTTATTAAATATAACTTTGATATATATATATATATATATATATTATAATAAAACTCGTAATCGTGAAGTATTTATGTATATTAAGTATTAAGTAATGTTTTAGTAGATGACTAGTTTAATCTATATCCTTATTTTACTCTATTTATTCAAATCTTAATTTAAGAGTAAACTAGGATTCAACATTTTCTTCGAAATATAATTCATGTTATTGTAATCTAATGTTTGTGCAATTTTTGTGCAATGTATAAATTTTTGTTGGGATTTTTATTTATCAAAATATTTAAAGATAAACTATAATCCACTTAACAATGTTTTACTAAGTATGACATATTAAATTTGTTAAACATTACTCTCTATATATATATTATCCCCTCATAACAAAACCGGTAATCATTAACTATTTATCTATACTAACATATAAAGTTAAAATATGTCTAAAGGGTATTTAGATAATTGAATTGGTGTAATTTCTATATATCCCTATTATGCTCTTACTACTATATAAATACAAAATAGTCTAAAGGACATTAAGGTAATTGAACATATATAATTTCAAAACCCTTTACGACTTCCATGGTGTAATTTTATAGTTCCAACTTAGTAATAAGAAGACATAAAGTTATTATCCTAGAATTGCTTTAAGGTTTATTTACACCAAAACTTTAGCAAAATATCCAAAAGTTATGTCATTTGTAGCATCATCCAATGAGGTGGGAGTACCAATGCCCCCTGCAACAGAAAATATTATCCTAGAATTCCCATATTCTCGTGGAAGACCAAAGATCTTAACACATCATTGAGCATGAGATAACTTTTAAAGATTGGGGTTGGAATCTGGGGTCCAAAGAAATAGTCGGAGAAACTCAGGCTTAAGACCCCACGATCCTATGGAGCACACACTTCTCATATATGTTAGAATTCTCTATTAATTGGTGAAATAACAATCCTAAAATCTTGAATCTTATGATTCTCACACAATATGTAAAACAATGATACAAGTCAATCAATGTCATACCTGAATCCATGTTCTCAGATTTGTTCCTTTATATGCCTCGTATAGAGGTTTTGGTATGATGAACTTCCTCAACCAAATCCTTAATTCCTCTTGGGACCTTCGTTTTCTCTCTAATGGGGAGAGATGAAAACTATGTTTGATTTAGTGTATTGGGGAACTTAATAGGGTTCCCATTATTAACTACTCTGAGTATCCACTCATGAAGCCCATATTCATTTTCAGTTTATTTTAGAAGTCACAAGGGTTGTCAGTAATAATATCACTTATTTTATGACTCTGAAAATAAATAGCCGATATAATTGTATAAATATATGATGTTCACCTTAATTAGAAATTATGAATTTCTAACAATATCATCCACCGAGATAAAGAAAAATAGTAGAAACCTTTCCCCAAAGATATCATGGTTCATTTCCCGATCATGCTTCATAGAGAAGTGAGCTTAGCTTCTAGATCCGTAAACTTTAAAGGATTATCCCCTTTAGAGAGGATGAGCCTACCATGAAGGTAATGAGCTTCTCCTATTTTGATAGCTATAACATCCCCTTTATGCAAGGCTGAGGTTACTGGGAAACAACAATGTCATGAGAATTCCTAAGAGCTTGTGCAAATGTTTTTTAGAAGACGAATTTCAAGCTTGATGTGGAATTGCAACATTGGGCTAGGAATCAAAATAATATGATAACCAATATTAAGAGTTTTGATTCTAAGTATCTATTTTCAAGAGTTTTCTTTTTAGGTTAATGGAGGAAAATGAAAGACTTTGGAGACATAAAATATATATACTTGTGATATGACTTTAAAGTTTTAACTTTACCTTTATTTTCTTCCAAAACTTAACTCACAGAAGGAATATAAAATATTAATCTTGACAATGGTTAAGAATATTATTTATGGCTCCTATAATCTATGAGAGTTGGTTACTAAATGCTTACTTTATTATTTAAAAAAGTTTTATGGTCATATATTAAGTAAATAGAAAAGACACCCAGCGTGAAAACCAAATTTTATTTGTTTGAAAAATATATATTATCAAATCTACTCACTTCAAGTGTATAAATTAGATTATATTATTAGATAGATTATAAATTTAGAATGAGAAATAAAATTACAATTTAGTATTTAACAGTGTTATTCTCTTATTTTTTGTCATTTGTTTTCTTTTCTATGAAACATGCACTAGCTAGTCATAAGCTGCATGATACATTATGTACTTCACATTCAATTCTATAATATCATATTATCATTGCATAAGTTATTAGTTTTTTAGAGTAAATTAAAGTAACACCCTCTGAGTTGTAATGAAATTACATTGACCATCTCTTCATTTTTATAATTACATAAACGATCCTTAGTTTAAATAGGTATATTGCGTTGACTACCCCTACAATTAAATGACATTATCATGTGCATATCATATGTCATTTAATGAAATGTTATTCCAAAAATACCCTTTTACTCATTTAGATATTTTATTTTAAACCCTAAACATGACAACAAGTTTAAAACAAACTTTTTTCATCTCACAAGTAAAACTTGGTTGAATTTAAATTTAACACACAAGCTCCTTTCATCTTTTCCCCCCTCTCTGTTTATAACATGTAATCATGTATATTGTATGTACATTGCACATAATATATATATATATATATATATATATATATATATATATATATATATATGTTAATAGGATGACAATTCTTGTTTA